ATGTGATGTAGATGTGTACTCATTACACAATGTGATGTAGATGTGTACTCAATAAAATATGTGATGTAGATGTGTACTCAATACACTATGTGATGTAGATGTATACTCAATACACAATGTGATGTAGATGTGTACTCAATACACTATGTGAAGTAGATGTGTACTCAATACACTATGTGATGTAGATGTGTACTCAATACACTATGTGAAGTAGATGTGTACTCAATACACTATGTGATGTAGATGTGTACTGTGAGGACAGGTAGATGTGTACTCAATATGTTAGCCTAAAGTTACACTGCTGTGAGGCATCATTCCCTTCTAAGCCTGTATCATTCCCAATTCTTTTTATTACAATACAACTATTAAATGCTTCTACTTGATCTCATTAAGCTGTGATATTCATCTTATTGTTTTGTTCCATGATAATTGTCGGTGTGGATCCATAAAAAAATACTGCTGCCGTCAGGAGGAGACATGACTCTGTCTGGTGCTCGGTGTGATAGTCTTCAATTAACGAAGCTCTAGTCTCGGCCCTAATCATGGTATTGATTGTATCTGTAATGCTAATCAAATTCTCTCAGGTTGTGTTAAATATCTACCATCAATTCTACTGACAGTAAATCACAAAGGAACCCTCGTTAGTGCTGACTTCCACGGATGACTCTGCTCTGGAAGTATTTCATGATCGAATATTCCTTTTTTTCTATACTTGAAATATTGATTCATTTTACCTTTTTTCTATTAAGAAGTAATATATCAAACAAGTGAAACCATTAACCTCTCGAAGGTCACAAGTTTATACACACCAGCTGAAGGTGTCACAGGTTAATATACACCAACTGAAGGTGCCACAATTTAATACACACCAGCTGAAGGTGCCACAAGTTTATACACACTAGCTGAAGGTATCACAAGTTTATACACACCAGCTGAATGTGTCACAGGTTAATACGCACCAGCTGAAGGTGTCACAGGTTAATACACACCAGCTGAAGGTGTCACAGGTTAATACACACCAGCTAAAGGTGTCACAGGTTAATACACACCAGCTGAAGGTGTCACAAGTTTATACACACCAGCTGAAGGTGTCACAGGTTAATATACACCAGCTGAAGGTGTCACAGGTTAATACACACCAGCTGAAGGTGTTATAAGTTTATACACACCAGCTGAAGGTGTCACAAGTTAATACACACCAGCTGAAGGTGTCACAGGTTTATACACACCAGCTGAAGGTGCCACAGGTTAATACACACCAGCTGAAGGTGTCACAGGTTAATACACACCAGCTGAAGGTGTCACAGGTTAATACACACCAGCTGAAGGTGTTATAAGTTTAAACACACCAGCTGAAGGTGTCACAGGGAATATACATTATAGAGAGTATATCTTTGTAGGGCCTGCTAATTACATCCTACAGGGAATATACACTATAGAGAGTATACCTTTGTAGGGCCTGCTTACATCCTACACGGAATACACATTATAGAGAGTATACCTTTGTAGGGCCTTCTTACATCCTACAGGGAATATACACTATAGAGAGTATACCTTTGTAGGGTCTGCTTACATCCTACATGGGGAATATAAACTATAGAGAGTATACCTTTGTAGGGCCTGCTTACACCCTACAGTGAATATACACTATAGATATTATACTTTTGTAGGGCCTGTCTACATCCTACAGGGGAATATACATTATTGAGAGTATACCTTTGTAGGGCCTGCTTACACCCTACAGTGAATATACATAATGGAAGGTATAAGCTTTGTAGGGTCTGCTTACATTATAGAGGGTGATATATACATTATAGACAGTATACTTTGGTAGGGCCTGGGTACATGCTAGTGAAGGGAATAGCATTATATATATGGTATACCTCTGTAGGGCCTGTGAATAATCCTAATGGAGGGGAATATTTAAGCTACTACAGTATGCCTATTTAGGGCCTGCATACACCATAGGTGAGGAGAATGTTCCGTATAGAAAGCATACCTCTGTAGGGCCTGCATACATCATGGGTGAGGGAAATATAGCCAGTACAGTACTGTCTGGGTCGAGAACTTTGTCTTCCAATATGGCTTGGTGCTGCTTCATTCGTGTTGGCAGTGGTACATCGTCGTCTTTTGTCCATCCACCTATAAAAAATGTAGCATAATTGTGAAAACCACTGTACAATAATTTTATTTTATTTTCAACAAATCTAAATGAGCTTTTCTTATAAAATATCTAGGTAAATCCTACCATCCCACAGTTTATTAAATACACTTTAAATCAATACGTACCAAGAGGATGGAGGAGTAAGACAGGTTTCCTGTATCCCTTTTCTAGAAGTCGCTTTTTGGTGTCTGCCATCAACAGTGCATGACCATTGTGTATGGGATTCCGAAGCTGGAACGCAAACACTGCATCTGCCTGTAGTATACAACGGAGAAATTGTTAGGTGATGCTTCAGTTAGGTCCAACGTAAAGGTAGTATATATGGTAAGCACTATGTGTCAATCTGCCTGTAGTATACAACGGAGAAATTGTTAGGGGATGCTTCAGTTAGGTCCAACGTAAAGGTCATATATATGGTAAGCACTATGTGTCAATATAGGTAAACAATAATGTAGAAACCCTTTTTGTTTTGTTTTCAGAGTGTAAAAGCTGAGGTCATAGCAAACAGGTTGTCTCAGGAGACACCTCCAAAAACAGAGGCTAGGGAAGTAAGCAAAGTCACCAAAAACAGACAGTAGGGAAGTAAGGAAAGTCACCAAAAACAGACAGTAGGGAAGTAAGCAAAGTCACCAAAAACAGACAGTAGGAAAGTAAGGAAAGTCACCAAAAACAGAGGCTAGGGAAGTGAGCAAAGTCACCAAAAACAGAGGCTAGGGAAGTAAGGAAAGTCACCAAAAACAGAGGCTAGGGAAGTAAGCAAAGTCGCCAAAAAACAGACAGTAGGGAAGTAAGGAAAGTCACCAAAAACAGAGGCTAGGGAAGTAAGGAAAGTCACCAAAAACAGAGGCTAGGGAAGTAAGGAAAGTCACCAAAAACAGAGAGTAGGGAAGTAAGCAAAGTCACCAAAAACAGAGAGTAGGGAAGTAAGGAAAGTCACCAAAAACAGTGAGTAGGGAAGTAAGGAAAGTCACCAAAAACAGAGACTAGAGAAGTAAGGAAACCAAATATAGATTCCAAGTGTCACAATTAAGGCAGTAAATCAATTTTGATTCCAAGCAAAAGATGCAGAAGAAAAAATAAATCTATTTTACAGGAAAATCCATTTGAGTCAACTCCAACAATAACATGCAGTGGGATACTGCAGGCCCAACTTTTTCCCAATCTTCCAAGTGTTCACAAGGTTGGAGGAAACGAGAGTACCCGGAGAAAACCCATGTGGTCGATGAGGGATATTACATTTATGATTGCTGAAATGCTTGCAAATGAAGAATTTCTTTAGCCCTAGTCAACAAAACTACCTGCACAAATTGAAGAGGACTTTCATTTGAATGTACGTACCCTGAGCTGTCTGAATTTGGCCCGCAGCTCCGTCGGTGTAAGTCTGTACTGGTCTAGTCCATCATTCCAATAAATCCGCTCTATAACATCGAGATCTCCACCAACTAACCAGTCACCACTCTCATAGATCATCTACAAACACAGGATATAAATCATCTATAATAACAGGATTCTGTTATAGATCATCTTTAATAACATAATAACCAAAAGTAGGGAGGGGGCTTAATTGCGAGCAACCCCCTTGTTCACAAATGTTCGCCATCTTGGATATATACCACTGTTTTGATCTATGACCACACTATACACTGTAGTTGTTCATGTTGTAAAAATAACAACTAACAGACAGAATATTTAATAACAGTCTCCAAAAGTTGATAAGTTGATGGTGCTGTTGTTTTTCTAAACTTATTTTCTATCATCAATTGATCTCGATAATTAAATTTTATCAAACATCGTTTTTATAAATTTTCATTGATAAGTCAATCAGTACTCTTTAAGACACAACACCAACATTCAGAGGTGTAAAAAAAATAGTACGATGACCAGGCACTAGCGCCATTACATGATTTGAATATATACCGTACTATAGCTAGTCCAATAGCAGAAGAAATTTTAGTATACAAGGCTGAATTAACAAAACTGTTGTCTCAATCATACAAAAACAACACAACAACTTATCTGTATGCAGGCTGCAAGCATTATGAGCAAGAGACATGTTTTTATGGATAAAAGTCTTCCAGAAAACGATGCATTTGGTTTAGGAAACCATGCTTTGTTAACACTGTGTATTGGTTGATACAAATTTCAGAATGTCAATATGAACGAACTGACGTTGACAGAAAGGTTTGATATGAAAAAAAATATCAGTTTGAAAACGAGTTTACCTCTCTGTAAAAACTCATAAATGTATTCAAAAATGTTTTCACAATTTGCTACTTCAGTACAGACTAATGATATAATGGATTTGGTACAAGCACCATGTTTTGTTTTACATTGAAAACTGCAAAATACACAACCGGTTAAAAAATGAAAGCATGGTGTTCTTTCAGCAACGGAACGATGTTTTGTTTTAAGTTAAGCCATCTAGATATCTTGAAATTTTGTTATGTTTACATCATATTCAATAATCATGTGTTATAATAGTTATCTTTAATTCACTCATGAATACATAATTCTTTATAAAAAAAATATACAGAATCACAGTACTCTTTTCACAGTACTTGGTAAAGAGTACATGTCACTACATGCTATTTACTATTGTGCCTAATTCAGAAACATAGTTATTTGTAGTATTTTAACTTGGACTTATGTTGCTTTGCATCCATTTAGCTAAATTGCTTATGTCAGAGATAAAAATTGACATACATTTATTTTGAGATGGAGACAAAATTAGGTAGGGTGCTTAATTGTTCCCAGGGCCCGTATTCATGAAACCGTTCTCATGCTCAAGTATGGACTCTGTGCTCAAACCATCTCTTTTGCAACCCACTTAGATCATGTCAAACGATCACAAAGTCAAATGTCAACATTGAAAATAGAATTTGTCTTTAAGTTTCTTCAAAATGTTTCCAAAACATTGACAAAATAAGATTTATTTATTAAGTTAAAACCAGAACAAGAAATTAGGCTTGAGCACAAACTCCATAATTGAGCATGAGAATGGTTTCATGAATATGGGCCTAGGACATTTGCCAAAGCTCGGAGGGGGCTTATTTGCGGTAAATGATGGTACTGTATTTTCCTGTTTTTTTTTTACAACATCCTGGTATTCTACCTTGACATAAGGATGCCCTTTGTTGCTCGTGCCAAATTGACGGCAGCATCTTTCTTCCTTGTTGTGGGGAAAAAACTCTGGAGTCCGCAACACAGCGATACACTTTCCTTCATAACGTAACGCTATGTCCCCACATCCACTGAGCCGGTCCTTATCTTCTGTCTGCATCGGTAAGACAATTGGGATTGACTGGTTGGATACACCACCTGCAAGGCACATACTTTAAATCTAGACGAGCAACATTTCAAACCTTAAAAACCTTTTAAATATTTTCTGCACAATGAGAACATGTCTTATTTGACTGTTTTAAACACTCTTTCATGGATATCAGAAGATATCTGCCTTAAAAATCAGTAAAAAACTCAAAAGTTATGATCCAAGGGAGACCACTCCTATTCTTTAATCGGCACTCTGTATCACATCAATTTTTGGGAAAAGCTTGGTGGGTTAAGCCTGTGGCCCAGTTCCATTTTTGGTATTTCATTAATAAAGATATGTAAAAAATAGATTCAAATATTGATTCTACTAAATACACTAAAAGACACACATCATCATCATCATCATCATCATCATCACCTTAAAGGGACATCACGTGAAAAGGCGATTTTTTTTTTAATGAATGTATGTATTGTATGCACTTCCACTTATGTTACCACGCTATCCCCATATTCATAGTCCGTTCCAAATGTCCAGTTTGACCACTTGAATTGTTCGGGAAAGCCCTGCTAAAAATAGCGCCGATTAACGTCACCTGACTAGGCAGTAAACACAAGTGGTGCGAGCGAGATGAAACGGTTTCCAAAGGGCCCCCCAGAGAGGGGCCGTTAGGCAACTGCAACTTCTTACCGCACTATGAAACTAAGATATATGATTTCTAGGTCCGTATTCAAACTTATTGAACAGTAATTATTCATCATTAGAAGTTAATTGCACACTTGCCAATATTCAGAATTTAAATTTATTTAGCTTTAAACATAAATGTGTTGCCAATAAAATTAAACAAGGGATGGGGCACAAGTTTTTACAATTTATCACAGCCTTCTTCGGTCATACATTTACAATTAAATGTCAACAATGATAATAGGCATAAACATAAAGTAGATATATTAAAATATATATTGAATTTAGTACCGGAATGTGGCCGGTACAGATGGTACGGGACTAAACACCTTCCCTACACCAAGGGACAAACCTTTCTGATTTTTTTTTTTATATTGCCGGGGCAGAGGAGGCCGGGTATTCATATTAGTACTAATTTAAATCTTGCATGTAAAAACAAAAATAATCGTTTAATTCAGCAATATAATTAAATCATACCATTTTATTGAACCCGGTAATATTATAAATTATGTAAATCCACGGACTTCGATAACACGTATCTCGGTGACCCAGAAAATACGCCGTGGGCCATCACAACAGTTATCCCTTGGAGGGCCTCATGGAAAAATCAAACTAACCAGTCACTTATCCCTTCCTTTCGCATAAACCACTGTATAATTATAGAAACACAAAGTAAACTCTCTCCAATACATGCCCATTAACATATTAAACTAAGTTCATCTGTGTTCAAACTCAGACAAAGATACTAGCGAGCTTAATAGTTTTAGATATTTATTCATAACATAAACAGCGCTAGCATTTCTGTCGATTCCATTTCAGCTTAACCGGCTATCCGGAAGAATACATGCACCGTACTAACTGCTACCAGGCGCGTAGCTACCATGTAAGCCAATAAACCCGGGCTTGCACATGATTTTGACAAGTATAGGTTTTCATGACGTTTTTTTTTCTTCTTGCTGATACTATAAAGTGGAGTTTAAGGTTTGAATATATAGTATACATAATTAATTCCTCAGATATGATACATTGTTAATAGTTAGTACAAAAATGTATGAAGTTTATAAATGTCCATTGCATTAATGGACAGCTCCAGGCGGAACTAAACTGTTCGATTGAGTAAATTGAGAAACTCACGCCCGGCGTAAACGACTCAGAGTATGGCACAGTGGACACAGACAATCAATGTTTTTTGTTTTGTTTTATGAAAATATCAATTTGGGGCACGTTCGGCCCCTTTTGCCGGGGCACATTCGGCCACCCCAAATGCAACAGTTATTGTGCCAAGTGACGTCCCTATTGATAACGTCACCTAGTTGACCACAAAAATAATATTTTTACGTCGCAAAGATTAAGTATTTTTTTCTTTGTATTCACTGATTTGTTTTCCAAAAGAATTGAATGAAATTCCATACACTTATTAGTAAATTGCCTCAGGGCGGGGCTCGTCCGGGCCCCAACTCTATCGACCTAAAAAGTCTAATAATTCCCAAAATATGGTCTTGTTTACGATTTGATTATTAGTTTATGAAAGACAATACATTTCTTTTCTAAATGACATATATAAATATGCATTTCAACAGTATAGTACATGCCTTCCATAACGTCTTGAAAAAAGAAAAGGGGCCGTGTACACATGTATTATTCATGAGTAGGGAAGGCCCTCCGGCCCCTTTTNCAACTTTTCGTTTCGTAGCTGACACGGTACAACACTTTTCTTTCGCTTACTTCACACGGCCAGTCATTTTGTTTACAAAGAAATGGTGTGCTATGCGCATGCGCTAGTAGAGGGAAATCCCTGAACAAAACGTTGGTCAGACAGGTAGAAATACCGATGATTTTCTTAGATTTAATCATTTTTATGAATCTATTTCAGCCAAATCCGATCGTTATTTTCCATAAGGAGTCTCACTTGATATGTTTATGTAGTATTTGAAAAAATGACAAAAAATAAAAGTTACTTCACCGTGATGCCCCTTTAAAATAAAAGTTTAATAAAGGTAAGGAATAAAGATGAGTGTCTGTTGTTTGGAATCTGAAGCCTACTAAAACAAAATGGTCAGTAAACAAATGCTGGTTAACATACCGTCTAATAGACAGCCAAAATGCTGACACTGTAGATACTCCCTCTCCCTCATAAAGCCTTTGAGAGGTGAGGCCCATCCTTCGGCCAGGACCTGTGTCCACTGCTTGTCCAGCTGTTGTACAGAGAGTGTAGGTCAAAATCAATTATACCTCAGGTCATCATGTCACTTATCAAATATACTTCAGGTCATCATGTCACTTACCAAATATACCTCAGGTCATCATGTCACTTACCAAATAAATGTCAGGCCATCATGTCACTTATCAAATATACGTCAGGTCATCATGTCACTTACCAAATATACATCAGGTCATCATGTCACTTACCAAATATACTTCAGGTCATCATGTCACTTACCAAATATACGTCAGGTCATACCTCAGGTCATCATGTCACTTACCAAATATACATCAGGTCATCATGTCACTTACCAAATATACTTCAGGTCATCATGTCACTTACCAAATATACCTCAGGCCATCATGTCACTTACCAAATATACGTCAGGTCATCATGTCACTTACAAAATATACGTCAGGTCATCATGTCACTTACCAAATAAACATCAGGTCATCATGTCACTTACCAAATATACTTCAGGTCATCATGTCTCTTACCAAATATACCTCAGGTCATCATGTCACTTACCAAATAAATGACAGGCCATCATGTCACTTATCAAATATACGTCAGGTCATCATGTCACTTCCCAAATATACATCAGGTCATCATGTCACTTACCAAATATACGTCAGGCCATCATGTCATTTACCAAATATACGTCAGGTCATCATGTCACTTATCAAATATACATCAGGTCATCATGTCACTTACCAAATATACATCAAATATACTTCAGGTCATCATGTCACTTACCAAATATAACTCAGGTCATCATGTCACTTACCAAATATACCTCAGGTCATCATGTTGCTTACCAAATATACATCAGGTCATCATGTCACTTATCAAATATACTTCAGTATCAAATATACTTCAGGTCATCATGTCACTTACCAAATATACGTCAGTATACCTCAGGTCATCATGTCACTTACCAAATAAATGACAGGCCATCATGTCACTTATCAAATATACGTCAGGTCATCATGTCACTTACCAAATAAACATCAGGTCATCATGTCACTTACCAAATATACTTCAGGTCATCATGTCACTTACCAAATATACGTCAGGCCATCATGTCATTTACCAAATATACGTCAGGTCATCATGTCACTTATCAAATATACTTCAGGTCATCATGTCACTTACCAAATATACGTCAGGCCATCATGTCATTTACCAAATATACGTCAGGTCATCATGTCACTTACAAAATATACGTCAGGTCATCATGTCACTTACCAAATATACCTCAGGCCATCATGTCACTTACCAAATATACGTCAGGTCATCATTTCCCTTACAAAATATAAGTCAGGTCATCATGTCACTTACCAAATATACGTCAGGTCATCATGTCCCTTACCAAATATACCTCAGGTCATCATGTCACTTACCAAATATACATCAGGTCATCATGTCGCTTACCAAATATACGTCACGTCATCATGTCGCTTACCAAATATACGTCAGGTCATCATGTCACTTACAAAATATACGTCAGGTCATCATGTCACTTACCAAATAAACATCAGGTCATCATGTCACTTACCAAATATACTTCAGGTCATCATGTCACTTACCAAATATACATCAGGTCATCATGTCGCTTACCAAATATACGTCACGTCATCATGTCGCTTACCAAATATACGTCAGGTCATCATGTCACTTACCAAATATACGTCAGGTCATCATGTCATTTAACAAATATACATCAGGTCATCATGTCACTTACAAAATATACCTCAGGTCATCATGTCACTTACCAAATATACGTCAGGCCATCATGTCACTTACCAAATATACGTCAGGTCATCATGTCATTTAACAAATATACATCAGGTCATTATGTCACTTACAAAATATACATCAGGTCATCATGTCACTTACCAAATATCCGTCAGGTCATCATGTCACTTACCAAATATACTTCAGGCCATCATGTCACTTACCAAATATACATCAGGTCATCATGTCATTTAACAAATATACATCAGGTCATCATGTCACTTACAAAATATACATCAGGTCATCATGTCACTTACAAAATATACGTCAGGTCATCATGTCACTTACCAAATATACATCAGGTCATCATGTCACTTACCAAATATACATCAGGTCATCATGTCACTTACCAAATATACATCAGGTCATCATGTCACTTACCAAATATACGTCAGGTCATCATGTCACTTACCAAATATACATGAGGTCATCATGTCACTTACCAAATATACATCAGGTCATCATGTCCCTTACCAAATATACGTCAGGTCATCATGTCACTTACCAAATATACATCAGGTCATCATGTCGCTTACCAAATATACGTCAGGTCATCATGTCACTTACCAAATATACATCAAATATACTTCAGGTCATCATGTCACTTACCAAATATACGTCAGGTCATCATGTCGCTTACCAAATATACGTCAGGTCATCATGTCGCTTACCAAATATTTNATCATGTCACTTACCAAATATACATCAAATATACTTCAGGTCATCATGTCACTTACCAAATATACCTCAGGTCATCATGTCACTTACCAAATATACCTCAGGTCATCATGTCACTTACCAAATATACGTCAGGTCATCATGTCACTTACCAAATATACGTCAGGTCATCATGTCACTTATCAAATATACTTCAGGTCATCATGTCACTTACCAAATATACCTCAGGTCATCATGTCACTAACCAAATATACGTCAGGTCATCATGTCACAAGCCTCATATAAATGATATAATGCATTTATTGAACAATAATTGGAATGGAGTGTGTTTAACAAGAGGGCTGATGTTTGTGAATAATATTTTTTAGCATTTCAAAGTTTTTAAGTATCCCTGTCCGCCGGCAATGGTTTTATTGGTATATAATGATATACAACATTTGATATAGCGCCCTATCTAGCTAACATAAGCCACTCTAAAGTGCTCTACAGAACATAGATATACGATTAATACAATTAGCATATACATTAATCAATACAATTTTGAAGAATTCTCAGGAGCTGCCTTATCAGGTGCTAACTACTAGTCCTATGCCACCTGGCTAGTATCTCCTTATGTGTGTATGCCTGTGTGTGTGTGCTGGAGATGTAATGTGTTCTGTTTGAAGTGGGACCGTGCTTCCAATGACATCATTTATAGTGCCACCTCACTTGAATGCTACAGCACAGATCAAGCAATACTTCAGAACATTTCTGATGCTGGAAAAATAACTTTTATGCTTTTTATCTTTTGAATAGTGAAATATTGCCAAAATAAGAAGGAACATATCTTTTGAAACAAATGCTGGGTTGACTATCTAGGAAAGATGTGGGCTAACCTTGTTAATCTCCAGTGCTGGTAGGTTCTCTGCCTCAGCCCTGACAGTCTCCACTTGGTTCTCGGGGACAAACAGCTCCCGTACGGTGTTGACGGCTGAAGATGGTATCACTTCCTGTAATAAATCAAACTCAGCATGTCAAAGTCTTTTCTGTTGTTTTTGCACTCCATATATTGAACCCAAATAAATCAGTTTGAATGATCCAATAAAAAAATTACCTCCATGTTATTTCTGACCTTTTTTGTTTGGTTGGTAATAAAAGCTTGCATATAGTCTCATCTTTCCTAACTAGTGAAGTGTGTATGTGTACACAAATATGTACGAGTCTAGTAGGACGGGTGCTTTCTCACCTTCATCAGATAACTGACCCGTAAAGTATGTGTACACAAATATGTACGAGTCTAGTAGGACGGGTGCTTCTCACCTTCATCAGATAACTAACCCGTAAAGTACGTGTACACAAATATGTACGAGTCTAGTAGGACGGGCGCTTTCTCAACTTCATCAGATAACTGACCCGTGAAGTATGTGTACACAAATATGTACGAGTCTAGCAGGTCGGGTGCTTTCTCACCTTCATCAGATAACTAACCCGTAAAATATGTGTACACAAATATGTACGAGTCTAGTATGACGGGCGCTTTCTCACCTTCATCAGATAACTGACCCGTGAAGTATGTGTACATAAATATGTACGAGTCTAGTAGGTCGGGTGCTTTCGCACCTTCATCAGATAACTAACCCGTAAAATATGTGTACACAAATATGTGCGAGTCTAGTATGACGGGCGCTTTCTCCCCTTCATCAGATAACTGACCCGTGAAGAATGTGTACACAAATATGTACGAGTCTAGTAGGTCGGGTGCTTTCGCACCTTCATCAGATAACTAACCCGTAAAATATGTGTACACAAATATGTACGAGTCTAGAAGGACGGGCGCTTTCTCACCTTCATCACATAACTGACCCGTGAAGTATGTGTACATAAATATGTACGAGTCTAGTAGGTCGGGTGCTTTCTCACCTTCATCAGATAACTAACCCGTAAAATATGTGTACACAAATATGTGCGAGTCTAGTATGACGGGCGCTTTCTCCCCTTCATCAGATAACTGACCCGTGAAGAATGTGTACACAAATATGTACGAGTCTAGTATGACGTGCGCTTTCTCACCTTCATCAGATAACTGACACGTGAAGTATGTGTACACAAATATGTACGAGTCTAGAAGGACGGGCGCTTTCTCACCTTCATCACATAACTGACCCGTGAAGTATGTGTACATAAATATGTACGAGTCTAGTAGGTCGGGTGCTTTCGCACCTTCATCAGATAACTAACCCGTAAAATATGTGTACACAAATATGTGCGAGTCTAGTATGACGGGCGCTTTCTCACCTTCATCAGATGACTGACCCGTGAAGTATGAGTACACAAATATGTACGAGTCTAGTAGGACGGGTGCTGTCTCACCTTCATCAGATAACTGACCCGTGACGTATGTGTACACAAATATGTACGAGCTTGCGAAATACTGTTGCTTCACCTACGCTACATGCACATGAACACTTAGTTGTTATAAATGCCTGACTTGAAAATAAAATCAACAGATCAATTTGAATAGGCTTTAATACCTGGTTATAGATTTGACCTCAACAACGGATTACACTTGTGGTTGAGTAGCTATTTGTTATCATGCTTTCTACCAGATAATGTAGAAACAAGTACTGGTAGCAATTGCTTTATGGTGTATAAAATTAATTGTCTTGATGTTTAATTCTTACAAACCCCTTTCAAAGAAGGCTTCATTTAATAAACGAAAGAGTTAAGACAGATTAAAGTGCCATCATGATCATTTGTATGGAAAGTGATGAAGAGAAGACTGTTGTTACTACTGGCAGTCTGACGTAAGCCTGACATTATTAAGCCTTGGACAGTACCACAAGTAGTGTCAATTCACTGGAAATCTACTTAGGAATGAAACAATCTGATCAGGAGTATTACAATTTGAATCTACTAATACAAACACATCATTCATGTTTTCTCCACTTGTGACACAATTCAACACAGTATGACCTGCAACAGCCTCAAATCTGGAAGTCAATTAATGTTGTGTTGTCTGTATTCTATAAAGGGGAGACGACTCGGACTTACCAGATCCAGTAAGTGCTGTACAATACTCTGCACACATTCATCAATGGATTCATTGCCAGCCTCCACACGAACATCAGGGTTTTGAGGAGGTTCATACTTGGCGTCCACACCAGTGAACCCTGTAACACATTAATGGTTTACATCAGTAATAGTATTGAGCGTCCACACCAGTGAACCCTATAACCCATTAATGGTTTACATCAGTAATAGTATTGAGCATCCACACCAGTGAACCCTGTAACATATATGTAGGGTGTAGGGAACCATATCTCGTGTACAGCCCTATCTGTAGGGAGTAGGGAACCAGTGTACAGCCC